CTATAAAACGTGAGAGTGAAGCACTAGTTTTAGTCCACGCGGTGTAATGTTATAGTATAGATAAAAGTGAATGAAATACTTACAGGTGCAAGACCCGGGCATTCGTAAACTGTATAGTCTCCTTCTTCATTTTCTTCATCACTCTCTGCCTCTGATACAGACCCGTGTCGCTCTCCAGGAGGTGCCCTAATTATAATATTAGAAAAATTATTATAAATTATATTTTTTGACCTAGAAGTTATGAAAATCCATTTTTCTGAGTTTTAGATATGAAAATAAAAGCAAACTATATCTTATGACCCTAGTTAGGTAGTTTTTGCGTTTTCCTACAAATTTTTTTGACTAAATTTATATATTTGATAAAAAAAAAATGAATTTTGGTTCGGTTCTCATTTTAGTGAATCTAATATTTACCTGTCCACAGCAGCTATAACTTGTTGTTTCTGATGTTGGTAATGGTACATTTGAGCAGACTGTGCAAGTCTACGACCTCCTGTTGGAGATATATCCTTGTTTGGTCCAGTGACACCGTAAGTTGGATACTCTACGTCTGAAGCGTTTTTCACGTGTTTCTGCAAACTAAAAAAATGTAACATTTTTAGAATGTATCTAATAATATAAAATAATTTAAGGCCAAGTTCAACACATTGTCAATGACAAGTGACCGCGACTTTTTTATCACAAAAAATACAGCTCTGAACGATAATATTTTCAAAAACTGTTTTCAAAAATGGGTTCAAAAAAACTGTAAAGAATGGTGGAAAGTATAGTTTGTTTTACTTTTAATGCATAATATTTTAATAAGTGATATTTAACAAATATTTAAAAGTTTCCACCATTTTTTATAGTATTTACAAGTTAAAACGCAACATACATTCTTTTAATTTGCCTAATTATTTCAGGAATCTTGTGATAAGATTTAAAAATATAGGGCCCATAAGATGCTGCCATCTGAAAAGACGGAATAGACACTAAAGTGAAAAATTGCAGACGAATATGTAAAATGGCTTAGCCCAATTTGACCATGTTCTTGGGTGAGGGGCAAGGTGTTGTGCGGGAAAAGGTTTCAAGTACCTAAATAAATTATTCTATAAATGGTATTTTCTGTTTGGAACACAACACAAGTATGTTTGTTTTGAAAGTTTGACATTTATGGTTAGACGTGTCATTTCAATTTAATGAACTCTGATAATTTAAAAGATAAATGTACTTTTTATTTATATATATTATTGTAAGAAAAGGTATGTTTTCGGTTTTTATTTTATTTTAATTTTCTTTATTTGGCTAGTTTGCTAATATCACAAGATTCAAATTTAGTAAAAAAATTTGTAATAATATAACAATTATTATAATCAAATTCTAAATAGGAAATGTAATTTAATCGCAATTGTTTTGATAACAGTATTTGCATATGGTCTGTGAATTTCATCTGTTACCGAATAATGACCCTTAAATATTTGAATTTTTCTACTAACTGTATAGAATTTCTTCCAATTTCCTATATTGTTTATCCACAAACTGCATATAACTCTTACTAAGTTATTTGAATCCTTACAACTTACAAGAAATATATATAAGGACATCATAGGCAAAGGTAAATGTCATATTGATTGTTGCGACATCAACAATCATTAATATAAATTAAAAATAACAGGGGACCTAATTTTCTTCCTTTGATGTGGTTAATTTCTTCTGCTCAGGACAGCGATTCTTATGTGCAAACTCGACACATTACATACAAAATATAGAAAGACATTACATTAAAATCGCTGTCTGTCGAACAAAGATAGGAGTCTCGATAGGAGACGTACTGAAAGATGAGAATCTCACTGCATATGTTATTTAATTTTAACCTCTCTGGGGGTCGATTCTCGACTCGTAGGAATTTTTTCCTATAGGAATTTTTGACATTTTTCTATACATCGAAAATTTATGACATTTTCCTACATATAGGAAAGTGTCACAAATTCCTATAGGAAAAGGTTCCTACAAGTCGAGAATCAACCCCCTGACCTGTTAGATATTCTACATGTTACTTATGATTTATAGCATAGATATAAAAAACCACCTTTATATTATACTTTTTAATTTTTTTATCGAATGATTTTGATCAACAAATTCAAATGCATTTTAAAGAAAAACAATTAATTTTTAATTATATATGGCGGTTTGTATACAATAGGCAGTTAAAATGTAAACTGTGAACCTTGTCGTATACTCATATCGGTTATTGTTATGAACATAGTTTTAAAAATGACATTTGTTTTTGAATATAACTAGTTAAAAATAAAACTCTTGTTAATTAAAGTGAGTTAAGAATATTTTTTGTACAACCTGCCCATAATGTATTTTGTAATAACTATAAATCTATAAAGGTTACTAGTATCGGGTCGATGGTGTAGCGGTCTAACGCGCTTATATTCATTTATAGGCAAGTTTATGAGTCCGAGACTGCTGGGCTTTGAATCCCAGTCCAGACCATGTGGATTTTTAATTAAATTGCATGGTTCGGTTTAGGATTTGATGTGTGCAGTATTAATAGAAAATTCAATTTCTATTGATATGACATGCAGATCATAAAATCGCCATACATTATCGTCTCGATGATGGTGGGTGAGGTTTTCCGGGTTTTCCTCACCTGTAAGTCAAATGGCACCATCAATCATCCTTAAGTCGCCCCGGAGCGCCACGGCAAATAATAATAATTACCGTCCCTTCCCCTACACAAGTCGTTCAGTCGACTCCAGGGGTTGAAATTCACTCGTAAGGGGGTGAATTAGGGAGAGTATTATTATTATTATTATTATTATTATTTTTATTTTTTCAGTAATAGTTTCCCTGTAACTTCTGAACTATGTTTTATTATTTTTAGTTGTAAACAAGAATCTGATGAGTACCTACATTGTACAGATTTAAATGTACAACGTCCTACGAGGATATATCAGTATATAACGAGACTGGTGCTATAACTTCTTTCAGAGGTAACATTTTATAACCCAAAAAATGAGACATGAAAGCCTTATATTTAATGTACTACCCCGCAAGTAGGCTTTGATTTAACTTTTGACATTTGTTACAAATTAATTATTAAATTGTCAGTGTTTTGCGTACCCATCGAAAAATGAAAGTGGAGCAAAGATACGCGATAAAATTTTGTGTTCGATTGGGTAAAACACCAACTGAAACTTTTGAAATGATTAAAGGTGCATATCTAGATAATAGTTTATCACGATGTATAGTGTTTGAGTGGCATAAAAAGTTTAAAGACGGTTGTGAATCAGTTGAAGATGAACCTCGTTCCGGTCGACCACAAACTGCGAGAAATGACACAAAAATTGCAGAAATTAACGACTTGATACAAAATGATCGCCGGATTGGCATAAAACGAATTTCTAACAATGTTAATTTGTCTTACGGTACCATTTAAAAAATTATTCATGAAGATTTAGAGTACCGGAAGATCGCGGCAAGATGGATTCCAAAAGTGATGACCGATGAACAAAAAGCGAATCGAGTGACAATTTGTCAGCAGTGGAAAAGGCAATTGCAACGTAAACCACAGTTTTTAAATAATGTGGTTACATGTGACGAAAGTTGGTTTTATCATTACGATCCTGAATTGAAGTCTCAAAGTATGCAATGGAAGCATAAAGGCAGCCCAAGACCGCAGAAGGCCAAAACTGCTAAAAGCGCTGGTAAAGTGATGCACCTGATTTTTTTTGATAAATTTGGCGTTGTTTACGATCACATTGTACCTAGAGCACATACAGTAACAGGGGAGTACTATTCTAATGTACTTCGAGGACCCTTAAAGGCAAAATTAAAGAAAAAAAGGCCGCTTTATCAGGACTTTGGCTGGACGCTGCATCACGACAATTCTCCGGCTCATAGATCAATGATTTATCAACGAACAATTGAAGAATTAGGGGTTGAAATTATGGTTCATCCCCCCTACTCTCCTGACCTTGCTCCATGTGACTTCCATTTGTTTCCTGAAGTCAAAAAAGAATTGAGAGGTAGAAGATTTGAGTCGGATTTAGAGCTCAACAACGCTGTGATGGGTATACTAAACAGACTATCAAAAAATGGTTTCTCAGAATTTTATGATAAGTGGATAAAGCGATGGGATAAGTGTATTCAACAGAATGGAGAGTACTTCGAAGGATAGTTGTTGAATTTTTTTAAATAAATGTTTCTTTGTTATACTATAGCACCAGTCTCGTTATTTTCTGATACATCCTCGTATAAATATACCGACAAACTTTTAGGGATGTTCCGTCTATTTTTTTGCCTTTAGCCTCCTTCTGACGCTTCCATTCGTTCTTATTCAGTGTAGTATGCATGGTTTTCAGAATATCAAGTGTTATACATATCTGATGCTGGGTCCTCCAAAGTTCATCTTCAGTACACTTGCTTATGTGACATCTATCTCGATGTCAAGTTTTATTGAACATCCGTTTCTTGCCTATTACTCTTATACTTAACCAGAACTCGCTTAGACTCTAATTCGGCCAAAACACAGCCTTGGTACACAAATATCTATATTACCGCTGGTTTCATTACAAAAAACTGGAGTAAAGTATAAAAAATATCTCTTGTCCAGTACACTCTTATACACTTGAGTATTAGCCAATATTATTTTTGATTGAAGACGTATACATTTAAAAATGTCGTTTACTTAAAAATAAACATTTAATTTTGATATTTTATTTAACTCAATCAAAACATTAAATTATTATTTGGCATTTATATATGGCTTATACCGGATCTGTATGTACTCTAGTAACTGAGTGTTGCCGTCAGTTGCCGCCACATATTCATTAGTGACATACGTTTTATAAATGCATAGTGTTACATATTTGTTGACATAAAGAGATAGAAATTTAAAGTGACGTCCTGTATTACTTCGAATGAAAAATCGATAATGCAATTTTTCTAACCTAAAAAAAATCGTGAATATATGTCAAACAAGATTGAGTTGGGCCTTAATACATTATTAATATGATACATTATAATCATGATATCACTTTCAATTTTTCCTCTAGTTTATCATAGTAAAAAGCAAATCTAGTGAATTTGGCCGAGTACAACTCTGTACATTCTTTATCAAATTATCGTAAAATACACCGCGGAGATAGCAAAAGCGGTATATAAACATAATGTTGGCAGTGTCATGAAAACATTGTACCTTAATGAGTGCACCTTCTACTTCAGTTTTCAGTTTTTTCTTGACATAACAAATGTGTGATTCAAATTCTTTTAACATCAATGGTAAGTTTTCTATTTTTGTAATTTACACTAGATATTCTACTCTGACATTTATTTGACATTGAAAATAACTGGTCAATAAACAAACGTCGTTCTTGTATGCAATGTGCTAGAAGTAGTGAATAGTTTTCTTTTATTTAGCACAGGAGTGTACTTGGAATATTTTGAGCGATAATTATATTTAACAATAAATTTTGAATAAAACTAAATGTAGGTATACATTTTGTATTTTAGAAATATTTTATAAGAGGAATATTTTTATAACTAATCAGTTTGTAAAAAATAGTAATGAAAATTATAAAAAAATGACAAATTGTAACAGAAAACGATTAAATATAGTAATAATTTCATTTATGTAAGAAACAATTGAATAAGTTCCCTTAGAACAATAAATCAACCGATTTTAAAAATGAACATTTTATTAGCACATCCAATTTGCCAAATAACTACTTTAATACAACTGACACTATCGAACGACTTAAAAAGACATCATACCACCGGTAAAATATCGATCGATAACAACGAATGATTTTCTAGGAATTAGCAACCATGGGCGTGCGGAATTTGTTTTACATTTATTGTGCTAATTCAATAGAGGACTTCTATATAAGGGAAGTGCAACCAACTTGGCAAAATAAAATTGACACTAATGACATAAGAAATCGGGTCACATAAAGAGGCTGTTTTTTAGTTTGCTTTTTGGTTTTTCCTATCTACTTTCATGCCATTTGCATACCTTGTTGTACCCGTAACGTGAAAAGAACTTTTTATTTTAGGGTATTTTACATTTAAAGGTTGAAACATTTTGACATTGTCAGCTGTCAATTATGTTGATGGTAGAACACAGGCGTAACCATAGATGGGCCAACGTAACTAGTATTGTATGTTGGTTTTATATTGTATAGAACTTGTATTCGTTGCAGCAGCATTTTGCAATCGACATAAATAAGTAAAACCAAATGACAAAAAATGTTTCAAGAAAGCAGGAGAAACACAAATAGACTAATAACAACAAAAAATAAAATGCAATGCTACGCTTATGTTTTGACATTATCGACAGCTAATATTGACAAATGTATTCAACCTTTAAATGTAAAATACCCTAAAATAAAAACTCTTTTTTAAGTAACGGGTACAACATGGTATCTAAACGGCATAAAAGTAGATAAGAAAAACCAAAAATTTAACAGAAAAACAGCCTCTTTATGTGACCCGATTTCTTATGTCATTAGTGTCAAAAAATTTTGTCAAGTTGGTTGCACTTCCCTTGTATAGAAGTCCTCTATTAAATGTACAACATTTGATAAAAAATACCTTAAAGTAATTATGTTTCAAAATTTTCGAAAAGTATTGTTTATTATTTTATAGATGACGTAATATTAATATTTAAAAATAATGTATTACAATTCAATTAAAATAGATAAATAAATAATCGGGTGTGACCGGAAATAAATTATTAGAACTGGTTTTTAAAGAGTATGGATATGAAAATGTTATGGCAAAAATAAGGTATTTATTTTTCGTTGATTTTTAGTTGGACACTTGGCAACGCGCACTAATTTGTATTGACAGAGCAATGCATATATAATTCTAAATTCTAATGAATAAGTTTACACAAATGATCACTTAATGATCCTCATAAGGCTGTAAATGTAAAATTTTAAAAAAAAATCGTTAATTTATAAGGTTTCCGGTGGTATATTTGAGAAATACTCTCCTTCCTTAAGACTAAAATGTAAGTTTGGTAAAAAAATATGTATTTTTAAGAAAAGGGCGTGTTCGCAATAATTACCAAAATATTATTAAAAATTATAAAAAAAAATGACAAATTGTAACAGAAAATGATTAAATATGGTATGGGCTAATTCAATTAAATGTACAACACTTTATAAAAAATATAAATATTTAGTTAAATTTTTCGTTACTTAACTAAAATAAATTGTGTTCTATTACAAACAAATATTTTAAAATCAATAGAACACTTCACTTGAAAACATATTATCTTTGTGATAATATTATTATATAATAGAACGAGAAAAATTAGACTTAGGATTTCAAATTTTAAGTTTTAATTATCATTAAGTTTGAAGTGTAATAACCGATAAATAAAAAAAAAAACAAATATAATTAAAGAGAAAAGTGTACACACGAAGATGTCAATTTTTATTTTAATCAAGGCATTCCATGACACAAAAATTCTGCCTTTTCTTCCCCTATAATACTTTAAAAGTGATCGTATGACATTTCATTTGAAAGGGCTTGATTCACATACTATACGGAGAATAGTCGCACTGCGCAGCTTTCTGAGTGCCTTTTAAAAGAAGATAGAAAACTTCGCCATTTTGATGCCTTATTACTTGTTGCCTACATCTTGGCTCAATATTTTTAATATTTTGCTTGCTGCTGTCAGTGTCAGTGAATGTTATTTTTTATAGCTGTTGTATGAAGTGTTTTGCTCGTTTCGCCGTTTACCGCGATTTTACCATTTTCTTTGTGTTTACATAAACCCCAATGAACAAGTTTTAAGGATGTATACAGGATGTTAAAAAAAAAGTATCACAAAATGAAATGGTGAATAGTATGACCCAAAATAAGCAGAAAAGTCTTAATAAATATATAACCGCAAATTAACGGTTTCGGAGATACGGACCATTTTGTGTTTATAACAATTTTTTATTATTATAAAAAAACAATGATATTTATAAACAATCAATAACAACATAGAGTTAAATGAGATGTTCAAATACTGACGTAGCGCTTCCCTCGCATTGTCATTTGCACGACCGTACATAAAATGCATGTCAGCTAATTCAATATTAGTGTAAACAGGCATAACGAAAATTTATAAAATTATTCACCCACAACAAAATAATAACTGCAAATAGTATCTATGAAAAAACATCGGTAGACTCCGATAAGAAAAGCAAGTTTTTGAGAATGAAAAAAGATAATCAAAAAATGATACAAAACACAAAACACTCCGTATCTCTGAAACCATTCATTTGCGGACATATGTTTATTAAGACTTTTCTGCATATTTTGGCCCATACTACCCCCCGTTTTATTTTGTGACACTTTTTTTTTAACACCCTGTATATCATTTTGTGTTTTAGACGTGATTTATACGATTATTTTTAATTAATTGGTGATTGTAAGTTAATTTTTAGTGCTTTGTTGTTCTCTTTTCATTGTCTAAATACCAGAATAGACTACCAGTTTAACATTTAGGAAATATGTGTTGCCTAACCTAGTAGTAAAGGCACAATTTATTGCTAAAGAATCAGTTAGCTCATTTGGACCAGTTGAATATTCCAAAATAACATCCACTTCAGGGATACAAATTCAGGATGCGCAGAAGACTGCTGTTTGAATATAGGCGGTTGTCATGTATTGTATTATCCGAGTTGCGCAGTGTATAAACTGGAACATTGAGATCAAAAGTGCCGACGCAGAGTGAGCGAACTGATTCTTTAGCTATAAACTGTGGTAAAGGCATCAAAATGGCCGCGCCCTATGTTGGGCGTGTCGGACCTCTCTCTTTCACCGTATAGTAATCAAAGTATGTGGCTTGAATGAAAAGCTGAAGTAGAAAAATGTGTCACTCTTACGATCTTAAATAAATGAAAATGTTAAAAAAGATAAGCAATTTATTCAATTTTCGAAGTTAATAGATCTAACCAAAATGAAGTAGAATTTCAATAAAAAGAAAAAAGAATTTAATGCAGGTTTAAAAAAAAATTCATGGCAAAACATTTTTACATATTGGACTAAAGCAAAGTGATTAAAAAGATGATAGTAGAATCGATTCAATTAGACAATTATTGGCTTTATCTGAGCCTCTTGTTGCCATGTTTTAGATAAATTAATGATTTCAAATATACTTAATCCTTAGTACCAATTAAACTTTTTATCCATATTGAATGCTTTTGTATACTGTAACTACTAGTCTTCAAAAGGCCCTTACTATTTCAAGAAATGTAACATTTCCTTTAAAACCCTGGAATAAAGACTATTAAAGTGTAAACAAAGTTTTAAAGTTTTAAATATGTACAACTAAATCATGAATACGCCTTACTTTACGTTTGTCTCATGAAATATGTAAGTTTCAAATAGTCCATGTCACTTTCAATTTTTGCAAGAATTTTTACCAGCAGAATGAGATGTATAAAAATCAATTATGCCCACTCAGCAAATATTTTGTTTGGGGGAATTAAAGGCCCAATTACTATTACCCTCCAGTTGTAATAATGGCCATTCAACTTTTATAATTAAAAGGTCGGCATATATAGATCAGTATTGCAGACAGTCGGACTGAAGTCACTTAGCCATCAAATCCAGTTAATAGGCCTCCATTTTCCCTTTAAAGCAGGCCTGAACGCGCCACGAAGCTCTTCTGGACTGTTGGGGTTGGGTCTGCACCTGCAGCAGTTAAAAGCCTTTTGACTGTTGTAATGCTTTTATCTAATACAGTTACTTACCCTTCATGAGGCCATCATCATAATAGTGGGCCACTATCAGAAGGCCAAAAGTAGGCTTTTATTTTCTTATCATCGCATTTATTATCCCTTCATTTACAGCAAAAGGCCAGCAATATCCCGGCAATTGATTGTTTGTTGATGGGCATGCAGATATTACTCAAATATTTTTCTATAAACCGTTGTCAAAATCGGTTCTTCCAACAGTTTGATATTCTCAATTCATTTAAATCAAATAAATGTTGATATGTAGATTTTTGCTTCAAAAAAGCTTGGACTAAAATTAATTTACTGTTTCAGAACACCAACATCTCAGATTCAATCCACTTAGAGGCGAATGGCTTCTAGTATCACCGCACAGAGCCCTCCGTCCATGGAGCGGTCAAATCGAAACTCTACCAGCAGAAGAGATACCCAAATTCGATCCAAATAACCCTCTATGTCCCGGCGTGACCAGAGCATCAGGAGTGGTTAATCCGAACTACACGTCCACCTATGTCTTCACCAACGACTTTCCGGCTCTCTTAGAAAAAGGTCCAACTCCCGAACCGAGCGATGATCCACTCTTTCAGATGAAGCTTGCCACAGGAACTTGTAGGGTTATTTGTTACCACCCGCATTCGAATGTGTATTTTACAAGCCTTACAATGGAAGAAATCGTCACAGTTATTGATGAGTGGATTAATCAGTTGAATGATCTTGGAAAAACGTACAAGTGGGTACAGATATTTGAAAATAGAGGTGTGTAAAGTTAAAAGTAAGAGTACAGTTTGGTTATTATATAACGAGATTGCTTATGAAAAAGAGTTTTAAAAATTATTCTGCAATCGAATATTCTCCTTCATTGTACTCTTCTCCTTTTGCCACACACCGTTCAATTTGGTTTTTCTATTGGTCAAAGCAATGCTGGAAGTCTTCTTTTTCGCTTTACCTCTTCCATCCACTTGAACCAACTTCCTTTTAAGGCAGACTTTATCTTTGGAAACAGGAAAAAGTCCAGCTATCCAACGCTGCATTCGTTTCCCCCTACCCCTTTATGATGCATTCTGTGCCCGCAGTCTCGTTATTTAATAGCCGGACTTCGTTTAGTTATTAAAGTATTAAACAAAAATATCGCGACGAATTGAGAACCTCCTCCTTTTTTGAAGTCGGTTAAAAATCATAAAAGCCTTAAGAAACATTATAATAATAGAAAAGAATGAAGTTGGAGCTCAACAAAAACGCAGATTCGAGACAAATCAGTGATAAATACGCACGTCTTTGAATTAAATCCAAAATGACATTTAAAAGGAATAATAAGCGCAAATATTTCTGCGTGTGAATCATAATAAACTTTTTCTACACCCGTATTATAATAATGCACTTATATGCCCATAATCCGTTTCATAATGATACCCATTATGATACAGATTTTTCATTACGATACAGATTTTTAATCAATAGAAACCTACAATTTTTCAATCAAGCATGCTGTTTGACGTTTGTCCTAGGTTCCTATGTAATTATTTTAGTTGTCAAAACGTATTAAATTTTCGTAGGTAGCTAAACTTCGATAATTATAATATTAAAATGTCTGATATTAGCGATATAGAAGACTCCTCCACACATATCGGAGAAAGCAGAAAATACAGTACAAAATATTTTACCGCAAAAATCTAGGGAAATACCAATACCTGAAGTAATACCATTAATTACAATTTTGTAGAATTTTTTATAGAAATACGAGTAATTACTGTTATTGTGTTCAATACCAATATAAATATAATATTTATAGGTCTTGATTATTTATCGGGTGTAGAAAAAATAGCGTATGCAACTCTCATGTAATGGTTATTAAAACACTCGCATAAACCATACGAAACTCGCCTTTGGCTCGTTTCGTATCCCGGTTAATGCTCGTGTATTAATAACCATCATTACATGATCGTTGCATAATATACTATTTGTATTATTGTTTAAACTTTTATTTTTATTATTTTTAAAGCTGCATTATTTATACTAACGTCAGCAACTGCTCTGATTTATTTTAAAAATGTTTGCCAAATCTTAGATCTTTATCTTTTATAATTTTTAAATTCATTTGAAACTAAAATTAAATTCAATTAAACTCTCGCCTTAAGTAACAATTATGTATTTTAAACTTTTATAACACTCGCCGACTTAAAATTCAATCTATTCAAAATATTGATTTATTTAAAAATACTCTAACTTTCAAATACTGAGGCTGATTTATTTGAAGTTTTTAGCAACTTTTAGATAAAATACTGTTGTTTTAAGATTATTATTCGGACATCTAAAAGTAATTTAGTATTCGCCGGATATACAGGGGGGAAAAGAAAACCATTTTTTCCTTCACTTTTGACACACCCTGTAGGTTAATTCTGCTAGTAAATCTACACACAATTAACTTTTTCAAGAAGACTGATTTATTTCCAACATTTTGTTTTTTATTTACCCCGATATCTTAATTTGTTTGTGAAATGTGACGGTTTAAAGAAAATGCAACATTCTTAATTTTTTATTCAGTTTTAGCAAAGTAATACATAATTTTGTAAACAAATCAAACAACAAATAAACTAATAATTATTACAAATTAATAACGGGTATTTCCCCAAAGAGCGCGAATAACTGCCTCAATGCGTCGTAGCATACCCTCTATTAGATGTCGAATCTCCATTTGGTCAATTTGATCCCATTCTTGGACCAAAGCATCTCTCAAAAAATTTAAATTACTTGGAGAAGGAACTCGGTTATGAACTCGTCTGCCCATTATGTCCCAGACGTGCTCAATTGGATTGAGGTCTGGGCTACATGATGGCCAGTTCCGCCAACAATGACTAAATCAGTACGAGCTTCCATGCTTATGCCGCCCCAAACCATTACCGATCCTCCTCCATAACTGAGTCTTGTGGAAAAATTTGCTTGGTTAAACCTTTCGTCTTTTCTTCGGTATATTCTTTCACGACCATCAGGAGAACGTAAACAAAACCTTGACTCGTCAAAAAATAAAATCTTACTCCAATGTTGATGCTCCCTGGAAAATCGAAGACGTGCTGTTCTGTGATTCCTAAGTAACTCCGGACCATTTGCAGGTTTTCTGGAGCGTAATCCATGTTCTCGTAATCGTCTTCGAATCGTTATTTCGTTAACACCTACTTGACGTACTTCTTCTAAACGATTTCGAGCAATGACAACAGTAGTATTTCTTTCTCGCAAAACATTTAATGTTACAAAACGATCATCTCGAACATTTGTAGAACGTCGTCTGCCAGATCCTCTTCGTCTCGAAAAACTACCAGTTTCATTGAAACGTTGTACAGCTCTCTGGACGCTACACCTTGTAACACCCAATATTCTAGAAGCATAATACTGAGACCTACCGTCTTGTACCAGAACAACTGCTCGTGCTGTATCAGTAGGCGTTAAAACCATGATGTTATGCTGATAATGAATATTTGTTATGCTGATAATTAAACTACAATTGCCAAGTAACGAATATTTGACAGTTGTCATATTGTGAGTTGGCCACAGCACTCTACTTATTTTGTAGTTTATTCTCTACCGTCATTTAAATTATGACCGTTTCTAAAATGTAGCATTTTCTTTAAACCGTCACATTTCACAAACAAATTAAGATATCGAGGTAAATAAAAAAACAAAGTGTTGGAAATAAATGAGTCTTCTTGATAAAGTTCATTGTGTGCAGATATACTAGCAGAATTAACCTACAGGGTGTGTCAAAAGTAGAAGAAAAAATTGTTTTCTCTTCTCCCCTGTATATGCAGCGAGTACTAAATTACTTTTAGATGTCCGAATAATAATCTTAAAACTACAGTATTTTATCTAAAAGTTGCAAAAAAATTCAAATAAATCAGCCTCCGCATTTGAAAGTTAGAGCATTTTTAAATAAATCATTATTTTGAATGGATCGAATTTTAAGTCGGTGAGTGTAGTACAAGAAATTCTTCTTTTGACATATGGCAACTATGTTATAAATTCCTGCAATCTTCCCACTCTCTTTTATTTTGAAACCGTAGTATAGACTTTTTCACTCAATAACATAATAAATTTTTAACAGGTGATATGATGGGTTGCTCGAATCCACACCCACACTGCCAAATATGGGCATCTTCATTTTTACCAAACGAACCGAAACTAAAGGACACCAACCTGAGAGAATACTATCAAAAATACAAGAAACCATTATTGATGGACTACGTCGAAAAAGAACTGGTGAAAAAAGAGAGAATCGTGTACGAAAATGAATCATGGGTAGTACTTGTACCATACTGGGCTGTGTGGCCTTTTGAAACCATGCTACTACCGAAAAGACAAATTCAGAGACTGTCCGACATATCTTGTATAGAAAAAAAAGCTTTGGCTATTACTCTACAATGCATAGTAGCTAAATATGATAATATTTTTCAATGCAAATTTCCTTATTCGATGGGCTGGCACGGAGCTCCAACTGGCGAGGATTTAGGAAAGGATCAACCACATTGGACGTTCCACGGTATATATCTGCCGCCATTGTTACGATCTGCTACTATTAAGAAGTTTATGGTCGGCTACGAACTGTTAGCTCAGTCTCAGCGAGAGTTGTCTCCAGAAAAAGCTGCCGATATTTTACGGCAACAATCGACGCAAAGATTCACATAATTTTTATTTAATTTTGGTAGTTTTAAATTAACTTTGAATTAAAGTTTTAAATCTTATATGTTTGTTTATTTTCAATATAGGCGATTAAAAAAATATTCTAATTTTCTGTTAGATTGAGATCTGACTGACTTTTTTATTATTAATTTATTATAAATAAATATCTTGGTAAATTTCAGCTTTGTTAAACTATATCACTGGCAAACAAAATTATACTTTTTGACTGATATTATGTCACATGATGTTTACTAATTTTAAGTCGCTGATTCTAAATATACCCCACTTTTTTTCTGACAGCTCTAGTTTACGAGCTATAGCTTTCACTAAAAATTCGCTGTATTATAGTGTTTATTTGCGGTTTATTTAATAATAATAATTGAATTATTATACATAATATTTAATTTTATTTGGAAATGCCATTAATTTATAATCCTCTTTGACGACCCCTCTGTTGTACGACCGCGGACACCCCCTGTAGATTCTTAGAACATACTTATAAAGGTAAAAGTACCTCTCTTTAATGACCGGTAAAACCCAATTTCAGAATTCTTAAGAAATAATCTGTTGTTATTTTAGGGGAAGATTTAGTAAGACAATAGTTCAATTATCTTTCTTGTTAAAATTATTGTTTTATTTTGTAATTTGATATGGCATCGTCAAGGAAGAGTATGTGTGAATGATTCAAACAATCTTTGTTTCGTTTGCGAAGAGTATGTATTTAAAGAATACCGTTTAAATGTGACAACGTTCGTGAATGAGGCTTACAAAAGTTACTTTGTGCTGGAAATGAAGAATAAGCCTTGGATTCCGCAAATGGTATGCAAAACATGCGTTTATGGACAAATAAGAAAAGACATAGCTTCAGGTACAAAACCGCTATGATTTGGAATGAACCCATGAACCACCATGATGATTATTATTTTTATTTTGTGAACATAACTGGTATTAAACGAAAAAATCAAGCCAAATGGGAATATTTTTCCATACAATCGGCACATAGACATGTCCTGAACCCTAAGTCTACACTAGAACCTCATCTGGTATTTTACAGGAAGAACCAGATTTTGAAACGAAAAACGACAGTAATGATAGTGACTTTGAATGCGACATGGAAACACCAAAACCATTCAATCAAGATGATTTAAAAGACTTAATTAGAGATCTGGGACTATCAAAGTCAGCTTCAGAAATTTTGATTTCAAGGCTAAAAGAAAGAAAATTGATAACGAAAGAAACTAAAATTTCTTATTGCCGTACAAGAGAACAGAATTTTCTCAAATATATTGCTGAAAAAGACAATTTCGTATTTTGTAAGATGTACCTGGATTGATGGCTATATAATATGGTTATAAGTACGGCAACGTAACAGTAGCCATAGTGGACAGTGAGCTGTCAGTTGTCAGTAGTTCGTTCCAGGTTGTATGTTGTTCTTGTTTCATCTAGAAGTTGTAGTTAACGTATTTTAATAAATACTCAAAATACACACTAGTGCCTACAAAGCAAGATAATGGAAGACTATTTTAGACCGCCAGATCCCCCAGTTTTGGATGGCAATATGGGCCGAAAATTGGCCTAGGTTTCAACAAAAATTTGAAGTTTTCATGACGGCTACAGACCTGAACAGCAAACCAGAGGAAAACAAGATAGCAGTACTACTTAATTTAGGAGGAGTAGCCATAGTGGACAATGAGCTGTCAGTTATCAGTAGTTCGATCCAGGTTTTATGTTGTTCATGTTTCATCTAGAAGTTGAAGTTAACGTATTTTAATGAATACTCAAAATACACACTAGTGCCTTATTTAAAAGCTTACTGGTATAGCTTTTACAATGGCTGCAATGGGATTACAAAATGATGTTTCTAGTGAGTGGTGTTTATTCATAGACTCATCAAAACGGAGTCTAAAATGTGTTCTCTTACACAATGGGAATAAATTAGGGTCGTTGCCTATTGCACATTCTACAAAAGTAAAAGAAGAATATACAACTATTGCTCTGGTTTTGAACAAAATTAAATATGTGGAAAATAACTGGATCATATGTGTTGATTTCAGAATGGTCAACTTTCTATTAGGCCAGCAAGGTGGTTACATAAAGTATCCTTGTTTTATTTGCTTGTGGAATAGCAGAGCCAAAAATCAACATTGGGTCAAAAAGGATTGGCCTACTCGAAAAGATCTAGTTCCAGCAAAACAAAACGTGATAAACTCACCTTTAGTGTCAAAAGATCGTATAATTTTGCCTCCGTTGCATATAAAATTAGGGCTTATAAAACAGTTTGTCAAAGGTCTTAACAAAACTGGAAATTGTTTTCTATTTCTATCAAAAAAATACCCGAAACTGAGTGTAGAAAAGATAAAAGCGGGCATTTTCGATGGGCCACAGATAAGATCATTAATAAAAGACACAAAATTTAGGAACACTTTGACAGAAATTAAGAAAAACGCATGGAATGAGTTTTTTTGGCTTGTTCAAAATTTGTTGGGAAATAAGAAAAGTTCTAAATATTCTCAACACGTTGAACAACTAATGAGTCACTTTTAAACCCTTGGATGTAACATGTGCATCAAGTTGCACTTTTTTCACAATCACCTAGATTATTTTCCCGCTAATCTTGGGGATCTATGTGAAGAACAGGGCTGGGATTTCACCAGGACCTTCGTACAATGGAGGAACGGTATCAAGGCTACTGGAACGCACACATGATGGCTGACTTAATTGTTGGAGCATTCAGAACAGTTCTATGGGTTCAACCTCTGCAAGGAAGTCTTATAAAAGAAAGTTTTTTTACCTTAACTAAATAAAATATGATTAACTTTAAACAAGTTGTGTTTTACTATAAAATGGCCATTTTTCTAAACTAGAGCTAATACAGAAATTTAGATTACAGATTTGAAGTCTTCATGTAATATAACTCAATCATCAGAAATGCTGTTGTGCAGTGCTATTTATACTGACCTAATTATCCCGGCATGTTTTTAATAATACTGACGCGGCCGGTCTTATTATTGTGCGGCAGACTGTTTATTTTTATATTTCTTAACGTAAAAAGTACTCGTATAAATAATCAAAATTGTAGGAGAGCGGTTTTTACAAATAATAAAAATGTGAATCACTTTTTTGTCATACGGTTTAAAGGTATGTACCTAAACATTCATAAAATCATCATTCAACTAATCGTCTTCGGACCAGGGAATTATTGGGCATATTTACCATTGATATTCATGCAATACTCTACAAATTTCCTCAGATCTAGGGAAAAATCGATCAAAGTAGTCTTCTACTTACAGACACAATAATAAAATTTACTTACTTATACCATCCGATACCGACCGCAATTAGCCCCACAGTTGCCGCAGCACTTATTCCCGCAACGATAGCAATGACGTAAACACCTGCAGAATCTCCATCCGTCAAATTTTGATGAATTGGTACCACCTCGATACTTTCATCCTTAGAACTCATATCTTGGAACAATTTTTCACTTGGTGCAATTTTATGGTCACTTCGAGGATTTACTTTTAATTTTTCTGTTTCTAAATCGAATTGTTTAAATTTTGGGGATTTAGTTGTTGTACGAGTGGTCGTAGTAGTTGGTTCTGTAAATAAAAGTGATATAATAATATAATATCGGTTTGAATTTTGTGTTAATAGTGCCTTAATATTATGTCAAGTGTCAAGTCATTTGTTGTTTGTCATTTGTCGTGTAACTTTTGTTCCATGTTATGTTCGTATTAAATAATTCGAATAAATATATTAAACAAATCAATGGTACTTTCAAAAAATTACCTGTAGTAGTTTTTTCTGTAGCTAATTCTATTTTCCTATAAAATCTAGGATCAGACGGCGAGTAAGCAAATTCGGAAGGATTGTCAACAACTTTGACGTTTTTAAAACGAGTAGTGGTAAATTCAACTGTATCTTTGTCATTTGGGTGCACTATATGATGATGATACTGAGGTAGCTCTTCTTCGATTCTTTCTGTAGCTATTTCATTTGGAATTAACCTTTCAACAGTTCCATAGTCGTTGTCGGATGATCCATCGTCATCGAACATGTTATCAGTTTCGTCAGTTTTATCATCGGATTTCATTTCTTTAAAATAAAATAACTTTTATAAGTATAACCAATATCAGTGACGTATTACAGTATATTATACAAAAACACTAACAGCCGTATGCATAGTCGATCGCCAGCGACTCGCCAGCGATTCGCTGGCGATCCGCCGGCGAAAGCCCAAAAAGCTGGCGACTCGCCGGAGATTGTCACCGGAATGTCATTTCACGCAAGTTTTCATGATCTTTTATAGGGAAAAATTTGATATTCGTTCATTATTTTTTGAGTTTTAAGAAATGAATCATGAATAAAATGCGAGAAATACCGGTGATAATCCCTATAAAAGAAAATAAAAACTTGCGTGAAATGACATTTCGGTGACATGATCGTCAGCGAATCGCTGGCGAAACGCCGGAATGAATCTCTGGCGAGTCGCTGGCGATCGACTATGCATACGGCTGTAAGATTTAAGAAATTTTAATAGATATATCATGGTTAGTTATAGTTTACCTTACACGTTATTAATTAAATCAAAATTTTATTAAACTTTAGTAATAAATGTTTTATATTATAAATATTAGATCTGTTTTTACTTACGCAAATCATCGTCTGATGGATACATTCTGGTTTCTTCTACACGTGATAAGGTGGGAATATCCAATTCAAATCTTTCAGGTTTGTTGAGTTTGTCCAAATAATACTGTAAAACAGGAGGTGTTTCATGACGTGGACGGTGCTTATGTAATTGATTTAATTCCCAGTCGATTACTTCCTGATATTGTCTTATTTTATCTAAAAAGAACAAAAAATTGGATTGTAGTGAAGTATACATGGGTGCTTACATGAAAAACCATTCAACTCCTATTGATCTCACGGGAAAATGATAATTTTATATTATCTTTTTACTATAGATACTAATAAGCTTTCCAGAATGTTCCAGACACAAGAAAACTCTACAGGATTCATAGGATCTCTGAAAAATCAACAAGGAGAACTCACAAAAACAGAGGAGGATACTTTAGATTTACTACTAAAGTCACACTTTCCTGGATGTGAG